CGCGGACTCGTCTCCCAGCAGCCGGGCCGGCAGGCACAGGTTGCGTCTGGTCAGCACCGCCGCGGCCGCCGTGCGGGTTGTGCCCGCTCCCCAGCGGCCGCTGCTTCGGCCGGAGCCACGGCGCCCCAGGCTGAGGAAGGCCGGGGTCTTTATTTTGGCTGTTTGCCCCGCCCGGGGCACCGGGGCAGGCCCGCGGCCGCTGCACAAGGAGCCCCGTTACTTGACAGCCTCTCTGCTGTGTCCTCTGTCAAGGGCAGGGCCCAGCTTCACGCCGCCCAGCACGTGGTGGGCGCTGCCGGCCTTGGCTTCCTGGCAGCCAGGCGCTCCCCGTTCTAAGGCCGGGAGAGCCCAGATAAGAAGCAGCAGCTCCCCAGGCTTTGGTCGGTCCCCGCCCGCCTGTGTGCCCCCCAGCCCGCCCCCGTTGGGCGCGTCCTCCCTAATCTGCCAGAGCCAGTGAGAGCGCCTGAGGTGCGCCGGCCAGTGCTGTCCAGAGGCCCTGTGACCAGAGCCAGGGCCGTGCACCTTCGCCTTGCTCGTCTACGCCCAGCATGGAACCGGCCAGTGCTCCTTTCTGAGTGGCCAGGCACTCGGCCACCGGCCCAGGGTGACCTGGGGCAGTAGCAGCAATCTGGCCATCTCGGCAGGCTTTCCAGGGCAACAGGAAAGCACCCCTGGGTCCCAGTCCCCCTGCAGTGGCCCCGGGTGCTGGCCGGCCACACCTGCCAGGACCGGCCCCAGGCGGGTGACCCTGGGCCAAGGGTCCCCGCCCCGCCTTGCGCAGGCCCAGCCGCCTCTGGCTGTTTGCTCTCGGCTGGTTTCTGTTTTCAAGTACTCGAGGACAGCGGGCAGGTCGTAAAAGACTCCTGAGTGTGCCCAACAGGCCAGCTGTCACCGTCGGGCTCGCCTGCCCTGCACGCGGAAGAGCGAAGTTCTGTTGCCCTGAAGCAGCAAGCAGGGCAGCCAGCAGAGGCGCTAGCCGCGACCCTCTGGCCATCGCCCCTCGCGCACAGCCGCTGCAGGGGAGGCGCCGGGCTGGGAGCGCTCCCAGGGGCGGGGCCCAGTGGGGCCACCTGCTGGGTTGGGGGGCTTGGCCGAACTTGGAGGCATAAGTGTGGAGGCAGGACCCAGAGGCGGGGGGGCCTCGGGCGCGGGACAGCGTGCGCAGTGGCCCCTGCGGCAGAGAGGCAGCGAAGCCCCCGTGTCGGGTAAGGAGGAAGGGGCCGGGGTGTGGGGCTGGGCACAGGCAGGGCAGTCCCTGGGTGCCGGCCGCAGGGTGTATCGCCCTAGTGCCGGACCTGGCGGCGGCCGCAGCCATCACACTGTCCGGGGCCCCCAGGGGCAGTGGCCGCGGAGCAGAAGGGCCGGGTGGAGGCAGCGACGGTGAGGCCAGAGGAGAGCTGCCGGAGCGGGGTGCGGAAGGCTGGGGGGCGCCCGGCCCCCAAGGCCTGCTAGAGGGGTGCGGGCCGGGCAAAGCGAGCCCTCACCTTGGAGGTGCTGACCCGGGGAGCGCGAGGCGTCCCGGCACGCCGAGGGCAGCTC